ATACTGTCCAAGAGGCAGTGGGCTTGGAGCATCTCTGGGCAAATTCCTCCCCGCCACTCCGTGCCTCAGTTTCCCTGTCTATATGAGGGTCACCTCATGGCTGGACCCCTGGTAACAGGCACTTGTGGGCAGAGGACCACCATGGGACATCCCCGCAGCAGTGGCATACGGCCCTGGGCTCTAGGGCACCTGGATCTGCAGGTCCTCATCCTCGTCAGGGTCGCTGGTGCCGTCCCCAGTGTCATCGGGGCTGAAGCGGGCACTGCGCATCTTGCCAAAAAGTGGGGTGCTCTGCTGCCGCCGCAGCCTGCCGATGGAGAGCTGCCGGGGTGGGGGGCGGCAGGGCATAGCCCTGGGGGCACGCCAAAGCCAAGCCCATCCCCATGCACCCCTACAGCACAACTGCACCCCAGCGGGACCCCATTCCTGTGGCTCCCACTAAGCTCTGGGTGCAGAATCAGCCCCCCCAGCCTGGGGCTGACCCTTGGGCTGGACACCGCCATGCCGGGCATCTCGGATCCAGCCAAGAGAGCAGAGCAGGGAGCAGTCATCTCCCTAAAGTGGGGATCCCCCCCGCAAAATACCCAAGTGCCCGTTCCCGGGAGCCTGCTGTGGTTTTAGCTCCTCACTCGCCCTTGCGTGAAAATTCATCAACGAAAATTTATGAAGCAAATTTGAAATCCAAAGGCCCAGGACCTGGTTGGATCTGACCTTTTTGCTGCGTTTTACTGGAAAGCATGAATTATTTAAGGGTGAGTGCATGGGGAGGGCTGCAGGGGGGGAAGACGAAGCCTCCATTATTCCTCCATGATTTAATGAAGGTGTCTCAATAAAATAAAGGAAGATTATAAACACAACCCCCCCCCCAGCACCTCCCAGAGATGCGGCATCAATCTCTCACGGCCATTTCAGCTCTTCGCTGCTGCAGAGGCGAAGCAAGGCCATGGAAAGTTTTTAAGGGCAATAAAACCCATCTCTCACCTCCCCAAACTGGTATGGGATGCTTGGAGCCTGCCCTGGCCTTGGGTACTGGTGGGTGTAACCCTAAGCGGTGTGAAACTGGGCTGTACTGGTCTGTGGGCAGACTTATGCGGGTTTAACTGGGAGATGAACGCCATCCAGCTTGCAGCAGGGTGAAGGCTGCTCCAAGGATGGTTGCATATCCTCCAAGGATGTTGGAGGCACTTTGGCCATGCTTAGCCTGGGGTTCAACCTGGGAGATGCTGGCTGAGGGATGGTGGCAAGGAGAATGTGATCCCACCCACAGGTCCTTGCTGGTCCCCACCATGGCCCACCCCAGTCCCCTACTCACCGGGACTGCAGATGCTCCAGCTGCACCTGGAAGCTCTCGCTCTGCTCCGTCTGCTCATCCAGCGACCGCTGCAGCTTCCGTGTCTGATTGTGGGCCTCATCCAGCTGCAGGATGGGATAGGACGGGACGGGACGGGACGGGATGGGATGGGATGGGACGGGACCATTGGCAGCCGTGAGGGAGCGGAGCTTCCCACCCCTGTCCCCTCCACCAGCACAAGCTTCCCCACCTCGTCCTCAGCTTGAGCCAGCTCCTTCTTCAGCTCCTCCACCCTCAAGCGCAGCTTCTTCACCTCACCCTCGTGCTGCTCCACGCGGCGATTGGCATGGGCCAGCTCAGCCATCTTCTCCTGGTATTGCTTCTTCAGCTTGCTGTGGATGTGCTTCAGGTCGGCCAGCTCCTGAGGTGGGCATGGGGCGGGGGGCTGAGTGGGTGAGAGCCACCCACCCCACTGCTGGGTGCCCCTTCTACCTCCCCAGGGACCTTTCCCACCACCCCACCCAATGAAAGAGGAGCTGATGGAGCAAGGACGGGGTCACTACTACCCCTTAGATAAAGGGTGGTGGTAGAATTTGGGCTTGAGGAGGTCCTGGGGGATGCTAAGCCACCACTGAAGCAACAGGGTCACGCAGGGAGAGGGTGGTGGGGGACAGGACCACCCCCATGGCACCTTGTTCTTCTCAAAGAGCTCGGCCTGGATG